GACCCTTGAAACGTGGGTAGTGCAACTGAGAAACTACATTTTCATTCGATTTTCATTAACGCACCTTAACACGTAAATAGCCACATGGGGCTAAGAGCTAAGATATTGGTTCTGACCTATCGGACAGAGTTATGGACAATATCTTCCTATAGCTCATTGGTGTCTTTTTATGCTAGTGACTTTTGATTGCAAAAGTACAAATATGCATGTAAAGTGAAATAAAAGTAATCAGAAAACATCTGTTTGGTAAGAGAAGACTATTTTGTGAAATGACCCCACCCGACTTCTTCCGCTTCAAAACATCCTGACGGCAGTATACGGGCTATGAGGTTGCCTCATCTTTTTCATGGCGGCGTAGTATTCCATTGGCTAGCTGTACCGTATCTTACTGGGGCCAGTAGTGGATATATATTGTTTTCACTTGCAGTTCAATGACTTTCCATCCACTTACCTCTTTGCACGTGTGCGGGGCCGGTCTTTTCTGTGACAGCAAACGGCACGAGAAGAAAAGTCTCTAAGACAACCCCGGGATACAGATCAGTTAGGATTTAATAAGTGACCCTCCTTGCGTTGTTCTCCGAAACGAACCAGAGTGAGCAGAGTTTGCACGTGGTGGGTGTGACGCCGATTGGAAGCACCGCGAGAGAAGTGGTTGCTGCCCACTTGTGCCCACCATCCCAGTCTGTAACAGGAGCTCAACAAAATTTGTTGAATGAACAAGGAGATGGTCCAGTTGTGAGTCATACCCTGAGGTCTTTTGCCTACTTTGGAAAGCATCAGCTGAGGATTGAATGGGTGCCCCTTGTCATGGAGAGCAAAAGCTATCACTAGCTCTGGTAATCAAATATTAATTAATTAATTACTTTGAGAGAGAGAGAATTGGGAGAAGGGGCAGAAGGGGAGAGAGAGAGACAGAGACAGAGACAGAGACAGAGAATCTCAAGCAGGCTCCATGCTGAGCATCCCATGTGGGGTTCCATCCCATGACCCTGGGATCATGACCTGAGCCAAAATCAAGAGCCCGATGCTCAACCAACCGAGCCATCCGGGCACTCCCAATATTATTTACTTTTTAATTGCCTCATACCCATTCCTGGAATAATATCCACTACCGTTCCTAGAGAAATAGTAATAAAGAAGCTAAAATACTGAGAGTTGCTCTTCAAAAGTTTGCCTAAAATTTGGTAAAATCCCATGGAAACTGGTAGGAAGAAAGATGTCATTGCCCATCTTGTGCACTGTGAGTTCTGCTTAGCTGCTCCCGTGGGCCTCCCTAAACTGAAAGGATCCCGTCCCCGGCCAGTGCACGATGTCACATTTCTGCAAGGCAATGGACGGGAGCCGTGGCACAGAAGGAGAAGCCGAGTTTGCATGGCCGAACTTGGGCACAGTTTCCAAGTGGAAGGTCTCTCCTTTCCAGCTCTGCCCACCACAGAGCTCCACGAACACTCTGCCCTTTCTTCCATAACCACCCCATCTCCCTTCCTTTCACCTGAGCGCTCACCTGTGCAGGTGCTTGAACCAGGTGAGCCCTGGAGACCGGCCTCCTTTTCTTCTGTCACCTCCTCTGGGTGTTGGCTTCTGACTCCTCCCCTACCCGATGGCTCAGCGTCTGTGGGGCAGTGGGAAGTGAACATTCCCTAGGGGTTTTTGTAAGAGACAGTTGGAATGAGCTCTCACCCAACACATTTTCAGTGTAACAAGGCAGGACCAGAAAGGTCAGGAGGGAAGGAGACCAGCAAATGTGGACCTTTAGGGTCAGCACTCCTACTCCGCATGTGCCCTTTGCAATATGGCGCCCACAGACTGCGTCAGCCTTCCCAGTTGACTTTTATTTCATTATTGCCTTTTAATTTAATATTTTTATTTTTATTAAAAAAAATTTTTTTTAATGTTTATTCATTTTCGAGAGACAGTGACAAAGCGTGAGTGGGGAAGGGCAGAAAGAGAGAGAGGGAGACACAGAATCCGAAGCCGGATCCGGGCTCTGAGCTGTCAGCACAGAGCCCGACGCGGGGCTCGAACTCACCATGTGAGATCGTGACCTGAGATGAAGTCGGATGCCCAACCGACTGAGCCACCCAGGTGCCCGTAATTTTAGATCTTCTTATCAAGAAAATAAAAAGGATCGAACAACCCAGAAAAGGCAATAAACAAGTAAAATATGGATGTGTGACGCAGACAACTACCGTTACGTTCATTGCAACCGATTTCACACAAAGAGCTCACGTTATACGTTGTTGTACTGGGTTTTTCTAAATCAACCTCTTCCTTTTTTTCTTTCAATGATTTTCTTGCTTCTTTCTCCCCGTTTCCCATCCTCAGCCCAGTCAGGGAAGAGATGTTTCTATCTGGTGTGCAACATTTTCCCACATTTACGAAGTTGCCTGCACACACATATGCACTTACATGCGCACACACACACACATATAGGCTTTCTGTTATTGTTTGATTTATGAAATTAGATATTTTATATACTCCTCTGCATCTTTATTTTCTCAATTAAATGTGATGGAAGTGTCCTCACATCACTGATTTTTTTTTTTTTTTTGACTGTCATGTTCCAAATGTTTGCATGTTCTAAAATTCATTCAGCATCCCTCACGGATGGGCGCTCAGATGATTTTTCTCTTGTTCGTTCTTTCTTTTTCTGTCTATTGTCTCAGCAAACAATGCTCAGTGGATGGCATTGTGCAAATAGCTTTAAGTACTGGTTGTTTTTTACCTCAATGGGAGAGATTCCCAAGAGTAGGATTGCTGAGTTGAAGGTAAGTGTATTTTTGTTTTGTTTTGTTTTTTTTTTAAATACATATTGCCAGAATCTGTTAACAATAAAGAAAGCTACAAACACATTGCATCGCCACCAGCAGTATCTGAAAGTGCCTTTTCTCCCTGCACCCCGCCAACATTAGGATTCCACCTGCCTACTTTGGGGTTTTGCGGTGAGAGGCAATGTGTGATTGTTATTTAAATTTCCATTTGGTTGCCTATTTACGCGATTGAGCGTCCCCTCAGGTCCGCTGGCTGGTGTTGTCTTCTGTGAATGGTTGTGTTCAAATCCTGTACGCGTTTTTCTATTGGCTCGATCGTCCTTGCGTTATCGACCGGTGAGCGTTCAGTCTTCTGTTGCCGTTGGGACGTTAGCTGTCCGGTGTGTGGTGACAGGGCCCCCAACTCACTCCACCTTTGCCTTCTATGTTGTTTTGCTATATTTTGCTGTTTAATGAATGCTCGCAGTCGACTGTCTTTTACTTTATAGCCTCTGGACTTTCTGTCGTGTTTACAGGTATATCCCTGGCCCCTCGGTCACAAATACGTTTTCCAGGATATTCTACTATCTGAATTGCCTGGTTCAAAAAACGTTTCTTTTTCATCTTTCCAACGAGGGGATTTTTTGGTTAGTTTTTCACATGAAGCATTTAAATATGTCTGAAATGAGGGAAGGGTCCAATTTTATCGTGTCCCGTTTGACTCCTCTAAAGATGTCCAGTTTTGGTTCCTGTAAACCGAGAGGAGACCTTTGCTTGTCTAGTGCCGTCTGGTGTGCTGAGCTGTGGCTGGGGACACGGGGATCACCCGATGGCCCCGGACTGCCTCCCCGACTGCTGCCCTCAGGGCCGCACTGGGTCGCTGTCAGACAATGCCAAAGTCACAGGCTAACCCCGCGTGTGATTCCTTCTCCACGTCCAGAGCCGGGGCACCACCTGACGGGAGGCCCAAAGCCAGCAGCGTTGAACTTCTCAAGTCTCACCAGGGGGTGGTTTGTAACCCCTGGTTTCGGACTCAGGCCGACTTGCACGGGCTCAGCCGCAAGGGCTCTTGGGCTCCTGCCGGTGGACTCTGTCATGCTCTGCCGTCTCCCCTCCTCCCGGCCAGGCCGCCCTCCTGCACTGAGCCCGGGGCTGCGTGATGCACCCGCTCCCACGGGCCCATGCTTCCCTGTGAAGCGTTCTCTGCTTCTGAGACGCCTCTGATACCAACCTGTTTTGACCTTTTCTTATAGTTCAAATCTCTAGATTCGGGAACTCTTCATTTGAAAATTAACTTGTTAAGAGCGGCTATCAGCAAGGCACCTGCCTGGTTGGGAGTTAAGAAGGATTTATTTTGATGAAATGTTTACGCAGATTGAGATGAATTGACGTGTAAGAAGGCTTTCTCCCCCTTCCATCTGGGGTCCCTTCCCATTCTTCTAATCCGCTCTGCCTCCCAGCAGGTGGATGAAATGTAGCGAAGGCCTTGGAGGGGTCTTGCCTCATGTGCGGTTTCTCTTGAAACCCCGCTTTTCTTTGTCGTCATTCAGCAGATGTCCACTGAGCACTTACTACGTGCTGGGCACTGTTGTAGGGGTGCTGACTGCGACAGGGAAGAGAAAGACCAGGCCCCAGCCATCACAGAGGTGGATGTACCTAGGAATAAATACCTATGTGTGTAATTAAATATGGAGGGTAAATACCGCAGGGCAGAATATGCTGCGGTTTGGGGGCTTGTCAGGAAGGCTCTCTGTGGGCAGCCGAGGGAACGGTGTTTATGGAGAGGGTGGGGCGGGGGCGTGTTGGTTGTATTTGAGGAGAGGCCAGGAGCCAACGTCCAGGGTGGGAGTGGGGAGGCAGCAGGAGACCTACCGCACAGAGCAGGGTGGAGGTGGCGGAGTTGGTGGTAGCGGAGGGGCACAGGGCCTGCAGCCATGGTGCGGACTGAGCGAAAGATCAGAAGGCAATGGAGAGATGTGAACGGAGCTTCCCGTGATCTGGTGTGTGTGTGTGTGTGTGTGTGTGTGTGTAAAAGATCATGTTGGCCGCTTTACAGCGGTGGGTGTGATGGGAGAAGAGAACAGGACCATGAAAGGCCTCTGAGAGATGGTGGTGTCCCTGTTTTTGGTCAGCGGCTCCTCTGTCCACACAGGCACCCAGATGGATCCCGGGAGTCAGCTTAGTGTTCTCCCTCTCCCGCACCTCTTCCTCCCTATCCTTCTCATCACTTCCTG